AAAAAAAAAAAAAAAAAAAAAAAAAAAATGGAAAGGGCACTGAAGTTTAAAAATGCATGTTGAGAATCACAAAAAAGAGCGAGGTTCCAAGTTAAATGTGCACTGGAAAAAAAATTTTTTTTAAACAGTTTTCCCCTACCGCTTGATACGTTTCTCTTCGGCTCATTGCCATTGTGAATGTGTATGTATTTTAACGGTTTAATCAACCAACATTTCATGTAGCTAAAAATACAATTACATTATTTGATTTAGAAAAGGCGTGAGGGAAAAACTTTTAAGAAACATGGAAGCAAAAAAATTCATCCACTCTAATATTAAGTATTTGATTAAATTGTTCGTTTGAGAGACGTAACGGCCGAAAAAAAACAGGGAAGGAGAAAAAAGAATGGCATAAAAATTTAATGTGAAAATATTTAATTCCTGCTCCTCTTCGCTCATCAAGATGCAGAGACGAAATCATAGAGGCGAGACCGAGTTTAGTACTCAGTGTAACCTTTATTTTAAAACTCAAGCAGTAAAGGTAACGAAACTTTTTTTCTTAAGGATGTCCATTTTTTCAAAGAATCTCAAAAAAACTTGCGGCCTACCTGCTACAACTTCAAGTGGTTTCTTTGTTCTGTAGTATCTTGTTCTGTTGTCGATCACCAAGGTACTGAATAAACTTTTTTCAAGCGGACAGTCAGTTAAGTAAAGACTAACAAGAGCTTGAAGCTCCAGTCATTACATGTTGTAACATGTTCTGTCATATCATTAGTAGTAAAGGATGAAAGAAAGTCAAGTTGAACTTATTTTCTGAGTTTTGAAAGTTAATTGGCAAAAATGATTTCAACATTCATGAGGGGGGTGGGGTGGAGGCCAAAGTCATTCATCACCGAACACAAAATGTATGATTCATCGCCTCATAATTTATTGTTTATCATTTTTCAGTTTGACAAATTGACATGGTTTTTTTATGTCTTTCCTCTTATTGACGATAAATTGCGTCCTCACATTATCACAGTAGTGTGGATCCATGAGGCGTAGCCAAGTGGATTCGCATACTACTTTGACAATGTGATGAAGCAATATAAATTTCTTCAGTATAAGAACTGACACAAACTGATGTCAATTTGTTTTTTTACAATAACAAAAACATTGAAAACTTCTCAATCTTAGTCATCAAAACAATCAAAGTAAAGCATGATTGCTCGTTGGAGTCAGCTTATCTGTCTGTACCTTATCAATGATAAAAATAAGCTATCAGCGCGCGAGAAATTTGTAAGATTTGTAAAAAATAAATAAACCACGTCACACTGTCTCGCAACTCGACCTTATTTGGAACTGTGCTGTTTGTTATAGAATTGTATCCTCGAGCGATGGTTAACTAACCGAGCTTTCTGTGGATACAGTGTTGTTTTTCCGCTTTCATAACGTTCACGTAAGAACGTGTTTAAAGCAAGATAACAAAAGAAGCCTCTGAGTCATAGCATTTTCTGTTTCCTGGCAACGCCGTCATAGAGAGGTGCTGTTTTTTTCTGGCTAGTATTTAAGTTTCAAGTTTATTACAAGAAATAAAGGATACATTTCCAAGTTAACACCATCCCGGAAATC